TATCTTTAAGACTTAATTTAAAGTATGATAAAGTATGCTAGCTTCCATTTAACACATTTTTAACCTATTTATTGATAAGTAAATATTACATTTCGATTCCTTAAGATAAAAAGTCCTTGAGCTCAGCTTTAATTTTGATCCCGTTTCCAGCTTCCTAGTCTTATTCTCTTTGATGTTTATGCATTATAAACTCCCCGAATCCAATCTACAAATCCACTATCTACAATTGTATATATTATATTCTCCAAATCGATTTTGTTTTGTGTGTAAAAATGGGACCGGATGTTTGGGGCTGCCCAATTCAGGATGCTTGGGAACGAATTCGTATTTAACTTTGTCTAATCCTCGTTAGCATTAATTTGGCCAGTCCAGGTGTGTTTGTGTTTTTGCCGGAAGCAGCTTCAGCCAGGAGCTGGAGGATTTCATTTATTTGAGGCATGCACGAGGCCCACAAACACACACATCATTCAGGACGCATTACTAAAGGCCATTGTTATCCGCACTCGTTGTTGCTATTGTTGTCGACGGATGGCAGGCAGGAGTGTGCGTGAGTGTGTAAAGTTATTAAAACCATTCAAAACGTTTGCTTTGGATTCAGATCCCGATTCCCCCCGCCCATATATTCTATATATATATATATGTATATATGTATATTTTGTACGTGCAGCCATGTGTGTGGGCGTGTAATTTGCATAACTACATGCCAGGACCAATCCAGATACTGGCAGGATGTGAATAGGTTTCCGGCGACCTAACAACAAACCTATCCTTCGATAGTCCCAAACGGGGACACAAATACATACAAAACGAAGCACGGAATAACATAACCGTTGCAAATTAGCACACAATGGCAGGTGTAAGGAGACAGAGGAGTCAATTCCCTGCGACGAGCTTTGTTATGTTCCTTGGTCCTTGGTCCTGTTTGCTTATTAGAATCGGATAATCGTTTGAATGACAGCTCCGGCTGACCCAGCACTATTACATTTATTGGGACATTCACATACAGTCGGGGCTTTGCTTACAAATTACTTGATTTACACAAAAGGTAGGTATTTGCCATGTGTATATTAACGAAATTAACCTAAGATAATGAAATCGATATGTAGTATACATTTAATTTGTATTAAATAGGGAAAACTTTGTAGCAGTTTGTGGTAAATTTCCATTGTAACAACATTGTGATCTTAGCAAAAATAAAACCGGAAAAGCAATTAAGTCGAAATGTTGGTAAAAAGGGGAAAAGAATCAACTTCATCTCTATAAAATAACATGTTTATGGCTGGCCAAGTTAAGGCTGCCATCAAAGCGGTGGTTTTTATGTTATTCCACAGGCAGGGGAGCATTCCCCTGGCCGAAGACAATGTCGATGGAAATGCCAGTGAAAATGTGTCAGGGACAATGGCCAGTTGGCCAATGACCGCAACCTGCAACCTGTTGGCCTCGTCAGGAGCAGGAGTGGGAGCGGGAGCTCGTGCACCATCCCTGGACGGAAAGAATGCCATTTTTTGGTTTGGTAAATAATTCTGCGGAATATGAGAAATTGGCTCTGTGGTCTTCCAGTCAAATGCACCTCGAAATCGTTTTTATTCGTTTCGAAATTCGAACCCAATGTGGCGGGGGCTGTATTGCCCAAAGGTGGAATGGAAATTCATTAATACACACTTCGCTTGGCTAACAGAAACTAATTTCGATCGACTCCGAATGTAGATGCCTTTCGTGTGGCTTTTGTGGTCCCTTCTCTCGATTGCCTTTTGGGCACACGGAAAATAATTCACAGGAATCTCTTCAGGGAGCGAAATATCTATAGAAATTTGGAATGTAAAGGAAGCTCCAGGAGATATGTTTTTCAAATTAAAAACTAGAGAAGCTAGAGGAAACATTAGAAATCTTTAAAGTACTGGACAATATAACTTTCACTTCCATCAAATACAAACAATATATTAACTTAAATAAACCCACTTGTGAAGTCTCCGGTAATTTCTATAGAACCTCCACTTGAATTAGCTTATTTTAAACACAACACACAAAGCATTTCCCTGTAAAAATAATTAAATTTTCTTTCGTGTGCATTGAGCTTGGTCCCTAAAAAGAAAGTTAAATTTAGAACCTTTCGTGCCACGCAGAAAATGTCTTGTTTTCACTGCATAAAAAGCACATTTGTAATTTGTTTGCCGGGAATTTTCGGGGTCTGCTCCTGCTCCTGGTCGTGGTCCTGGTGTTTTTGGCTGCTTCGCAGATTTGGTCGCCTGCATGTTTCACTCTCGGGTAAAATGTACTTGCATAATTTATGCGAAATCAGCGACGTGGCTGAAAAAACAACCCCACAGGCCACACCACAACGGAGATGGAGGCAGGAGTAGAGGAGCAGAGGAGCACTTTATTTGCCAGTCGGTGGCACGTAAAATGCTTTATCCCCGATTCATTGTCACCGAAAAGATGCTTTATCGCTGCCAGACTACAAATTCCGGCGCAGCTAAAAATATTAACGCTTGAATCTCGTACTAGACAGGTATAATATCTGGCAGGTGGAAAACTGGGTGGCCCTGTGGGCGGGCGGCATTGAGGACATTGCTGCAGGGCAGGCTCAGAGAAAGGAAGTGGAATGAAAATGGGAGGAGAAGCGGGAGCAGGAGCCGAGACTGAGCCCGCATTTATCTTCTGGGCAGGGGAAAAACTTTGTCTTTAGTCATTCAATCCAGCCAGCCACACGGACGCTTTTTTTCGGGCGGGATTATGGATAATCACCTTGCCGAGGAGCAGGAGAGAGGAGAAAGATGATGCCCGACCAGAAGACGCATTTGTTTTTATCGCACTTTTTACATTGTTTGGGAACAGAGAGAAAAATTAACATTAATTTTGATAGGATTTAAGTTTCCTTATTTATTATGTTCAAAGAATAAATAGTGTATAATAAGTATAGATATCATTGAAAAGGTATAATATGTAAAAGGCAGTTAGATCATTGTAAAAAGTATACTCTCGTACTTGTGAATATTGATACTGGAAGGACATACTATTTGGAGATAAAAGAAATTCCTTATTAGAATCGATTAGAATCGATGATTAATAAATATTATTAATTGCTACACCGTAAAACAATTTAGGTTATAAACAGCCATATATCAATGCATAAATAGTTCTCCATTTGTTGCGTTTAAATAATGTTTTAATGTTTAATATTTCATTATAGATTTATTTTAAGTTTCACAAATAAAATATATTTTAATACAACATTTTCGAGGTTTTTATATGCAAAAATTGATATTAAATCGATATCCAGCGATATTTTTGCCAGCTCTCATAGAAAGCTCTCTATATATCCTTTCTGTTTTTTATCTTTATTAGTTAAGAAATTAAATATATGCTGACATACGATTTGGAGAAAATATGAGAAGGTATACTCTACAAAACTGATATTAATGGAATTCCCCTCTTTTTCTCCATTTAATTAATGACATTTATCGATCACTTTTCGTTCAATGCATTTTCGCTTTCCATTCACTTTGTTTTTCGCCTGTTTATTTTTGCATAATTTTCTAAGCGTTGTGCCTCAGTTTTAGTACATTTTCATTTACCTTGCGCCGTGTGTCACAGAGGGGGGACAAAGAGATGGCCGTGCAAATTTGTTTACCTTCGTGCGTGCGCAAGTTTTTCCAGATTATGCAAAAGTTGAATTTTTCATTGCATACGCTCGGGCGTATTATCCTCGCCGCGTGTCAATGCGATACAACAACAGACGTCGCTCCGTCGGCGGCCATTTCATTCCATGGGAAATTCAATGAGGCAACCGCCCCTCCAGCCCCAACAAGGCGTTTATATTAAATTGTATTATTCTGTATTTTCTTTGAGGGCGGGAGCCTCATTTCGTGAGGCCTGTGCTGCCCACGGGCCGAAGATGTTTACTTTGCTGTATTTTCTGTAAACTTGCCGTTGGCGAAGCTATTGCCACTGCTGTTGAAGTTGTTTTTTTTTTTTCTGCTGGGCCCAGGACTTGTCAGCATGCCAGGCAAATGAGTTTACGAGAGGGGAGAGAGAGAGGGTATAGGAAAGGAAAGGAAAGGCACGGAAAATGCGAACAAGGAAGGCAAAACTAACTTTGTGCACATCTTACTTAGTTACAGGACGCCCTTGTTTTCTGTCCTGGCTCTTGTTCGACCCTCTTCTGCGGCGTTTAGTAGGTTCCCCCTTTCACTAGAGACCAGAAAAGGATACTCTTTACTGAGTCAAAGGACCACTTGCGAAGAAGTTCCTCCTGTTAATGCCTAGGATTTTAAAACTTAAGTTGGCCCAAGTCACATATATTGCATTGGAAATAAATACTAAGGTCAGAGTTTAAAAATAAGACTTGCTACTAAAGGAGTTGAATAATTTAGTTTCTGTAAGTATAAGTTTCAAAGTATAACTTATAAGAATGAATCATTAATCACTTTTAATTATAAGTAAGTATATTATAAGATAAATATTTCTCAAAATATTTTAGCAGTTTTAAAAATGATGTAACGTTTTAATAAAACATTTTAAGAACCCCTTTAATCTTAATATTTTAGTAAGCATATTAATGGCTTCGGTCTTTCGCAATTCAACTGCCTCCTTGGTTCATCCTATCTTTAATGTGCTCGTGTTCGGTGGCTGGGCCTGGAAAAGCAAATTTCAAACATAATGAGGGTCAAACAATATTTGTGATTTGGTTTTTTTTCGGGCCAACAAGGCGGACTCTATGTTGTTCGCGATGCTGCCAGTGTTTTGTTTTCCTTTTTTTTCTTGGTATTTTTTCTCCGGCCACGAAACAACATTACGAGTTTGTGTACATGGCGTACTTATTTAACCTTTTCAGAGTCAGGGGCCACCAAAGTCTTTAACGTTTTTGTCATGTTCCTTCAGATTTGGCAGGGCTTTCATTAGGAACCAAAGTACACTTAATTTGTTTGCTATATTTACTTTAATTTGTACATAATTTCAAATTAAATAGTTCTTTTTATTGAAATTGTTGAAAATAAATATTTACTTTACAATCAGCTTGAAAATGATTATATAATAAATTAAATAAGGAATGAAGCTTTAAGGGAACGTTTTAAAAATGAAATCTTTAAAAGGGATTTCCCCTTCAAAGCGTCGGGTAGACTGGAATGGTGGAGATGCCGCACTGGTTCTTTCCGTTCCTCAGCATCTTGATGTAGCCCTTGTCGCCCCATCTGGTGCTCCAAGAGTTCTTCACCAGCCAGTAGTCCTTGCCGGACTGCGAGCCGTAGCCCACAACCGTGACGCCGTGATTCAAGTTCTCCGAATTGCAGGATGGCTCGTTGTACACTCCCGACGAGTAGAACTGGAAGGAGCTGCGAGAGGCATCAATGGCCACCGAAATGGGTCCAATGTTGGCCACCGCATCGGCCAGCTTTTTCTCATCGCCCTTGGGCAGAATCCTGAATCCCTTGACAGTGGCTCCGATCGCCGCCTTGTTGTACTTGCACTTGTCATTTATGCCCTTGTAGGGATACGAGGCCTCCGTGTCAATGCCACCATTATCCCGAATGTAGTTAAAAGCGTTGGTCATGAAGCCACCTTGGCAGCCATGATTACCCCAGTTGGTGGAGCAATCCACCAGGTTCTGCTCGGACAGGGCGACCAGCTTGCCGGTCTTGCGGAACTGCAGACCCTCCAGAGTTCCTGTGCTGGCAAAGGCCCAGCAGCTGCCACATTGCTTCTGATCCTTTACAGGAGTAACGGCACCCTTGGAGCGCCAATCTACGGAACTGGGCAGGCTGACGGACTCCGGTGAGAAGAAGGTCACCTCATCCCAACTCTCATCGGCAATGCTAAAGAAGTTTTAGTAATAAGTGATGAATTACAGAAACTGAACGAAGAATTTTAATCTGTGCTTACTGGCTCTCCTTGTGCTGGGTGTAATTAAAGCCATTCATCAACTCGTTGAACTCTTCGCTCGTTAAGTCTGCATACTCGTTAATGGCCAACTTGAAGCTCACTTTGCCGGCAGCGAATCGCCGGTTGTGCTCTACAATCGAGTTTCTGTTCTCGCTGAATACTTTTAGGCGAAAGCGCTCTTCGGCTGCATTCTGATAGGTCCTGCGATGCTGCAGGGTGAAGTCTCGCCATTGCTGATCGAGGACTTGGTCCAAGGACATCACATTGCTGACAACGAGCAAAGCCAAAAAGGCGAGTACAACGGATTGGCTCATAATGGATAACTCAAAAAGAACTCGAAGGATTTTCGGTAAGTTAAGTCAACTCTTTAGGATGTCGTTATGTTTTCTGAAGATCCACAGAAATGGCCCCGCTTTTATATACTACCCGCTAAGATAAGTAAAAATTACTCGCATTAAACAATTAAATAACGAAATCCAACCCAAAACCTTATCGTTCAAAATCTCTTTATCGACGCCGTGACACCTCTTTGGGCTATTGCAATCGCATTTCCTAGCAATTTCGGTTGCTCACTTATCAACACATTGTTAAAGTGGATTATAAATATGAGTCTTCCGTGTGCGCTTTGTCAATTAAAATTACGCCACTGGAGAGGGGACTAATCACAAGCAAAATATAAAATGAATAAATAAATCTGATTGAATAAGTTAGTATTTTTCACAGATATGTATGTATATACAGGCGACTACTTTATAACATTAAAACTTCTTTAAAATATTTATTAGATTTAATTGGCTCTTGGCGTTTCTTCGCTTCGATTTCAAATTTAATGTAAAGGATTAAATAAAAAAAATAAAGCAAATTCAATAAATTTTATATTTATTTCAATTATTTGTATTAATTTTTATGTTTTTATTCATTAAAATTTTTTTCAATAAAAATTTAATAAATAAATTATATTAATAATACAGTAAAGGAAACATAATTTGGTAAAGCCGGAGCTTTATACCCTTAGCTCTTCCGCCTTCAGAAACTACAATGTAAACTACTACTATTTTGAAGTAGCATCAAAGGGACTTTAAATAGATTTTTTGATATGATAATTGTTTAAGCAAATCTTTTTTTTTAATATAATAACTAAGCCAAATACGCAGTCCATTTTATTTATATGTCATTGGCTTTTATTAATGTAACAAATGCGATTTTAAGGTTAATATTTTTTTGTAATTTTAGTTTATTTATATTTTTTTATCGTTTTAAATTAATGAAAATGGAATTTTTTGTAGTACTGTTGATACTGGTAAATGAAGTATATATATTTATGATTTGAAAGGGTATAAATTGACTTCTTCACTGCGTTTAAATGTTCTGCTTTAATTATAGTACCTTTCGAGAGTATAAATAAAATATTTGAAAAAACGCGCTTTTTTTTATTTATCGATATTATCGATACTGTCGAACCAGTGAAATGCCATCTCTACCCGCTTGACTTCTTCGAAAATTCGAAAAGTTACTTATTTCGAAAATGTAAAATATTTGTACTGAAATTGGCGCCCCTAGTGGCCGACAGAATTCTAGCGCCTTAAAGTCTGCAATGAAAATTGTACTTTTGTTTGGCGGTTATCTTTAAAATCAAATAAGAAATTTATTAAAACGATTATCTGTGAAATAAAAGTGATAATATTGATAACAAACGGTGTTTCTATGTTTTATTTATATTTCTTTTGTATTTCTATATATTTTTTTATATTCTAATAATATTAAAAATTCAATCTTCTAATCTTTTAAATCCCTCGCTCTTTGGTTTTAGCTCTCCCATTCTCTCTCTTTCTCTTCCAGCGACTTCCTCTCGCAGCCACCACCCCTAAAATCAGGCAAAGCGGCGGCATTTGCGCCTTCAACCCCGCCAAGGAGCCACGTGCTCGCCGAGCTTTTGGCCTCCTTTCGCTGGCGGCTGGCGAATCAATGAAAGTGAAGCTTTGCCCAAATTAAGCCCGCTCGCAGTCGTCCTCTGATAAAAAATTTCCATGCAGAGTCCTGTGTCCTGCTTCCTGCGTCAGCGCCTTGCCATATATCCACACACACATTTGCGATGGTGGTGGTGCGGCATCTGCGTAGTGTGCGTGCATGAGAATCCACCACCGAAATTCGTCAATCCACCATGCGAATAACGAGCTTCGCGCGGCGCCACGCGATTCGGATTCAGTTTACAACGGAAAGCACAAATCAACGGTCGTGAAAATCGAGCAAAGCTCCCCGGCACGGAAAACGGAAAAAACCAAACGCAGAAAATTCGTCGAACGAAACGGATTCCCGTAAAACCGAGTGTGCATTTCGCTGAAGCTTTGAGTCAGTATTAAAACGCAGTTTTGTCAAGTTATTAAAGAAAAGGATTTTCCAGATTAAAATTTAAGCGCGGTTGTGCTTCTGTGTGAGTGTAAGTGTGTGTGTGTGCGAGGAAAATCCGCCCTTAACAGCAGCCAGGAATTTTTGTTGGAGTCGCAATCCCGAGAAGCTAAGCCAAGACAAACTTTGGTACGGAACTCTCTGCCTGACGTGTCCTGCCCACCAATACACGCGCACACAAAGGTCCTTTGTCTCTCTTTATCTCTCTCTCCCTCGCTCTCTCTCTCTCTCTATGTTCAGAGCTCTTCATTTTGATAGAATAAAATATAAAAGTACTCTCGGGTTTGGTGGTTTGCACGTGGAATTCCATGAAAAACACTGAACCCTCTCACATGTAAATTTCAATTGTTCCGTGCCTTTGAACACCCAGCGTAAAATCTGCATTTTTGTGCATTCTATTCGAGAGTTTGCATTCCAAAACACCAACAAAGTGCACAAATTTGCACGTTGCCATGCCATATACTACTATACAGATGTTTTTGGGGTATGGCAAGCATCAGATTTTGGCAAGAGCCCATGGCAAGTGATTAATCACTTGACCAGACCAGAATGACCGACCAGCTGAGGGTAAACAACAATTTTTAATTTGATCTTTCGGGTTAGATAGAGGGAAGGCAATTAGAAAACCCTTTTCTAAGATCTCTCCAGATCCAAATCTCTTGGGGCGCTTGGGTACAATTTGCATATCCATACATTAAGGACAAAAGGAAGGTATATTATTTAAATACAAAGTTTAAGCTTGATTTTACCAATAATAAAGAATAATTAAGTATTTCCTAGTTGATATTTCGAATTCTCCAAGAGATAAAGGTACAATTTGCATCACAATCACTACATAACTACATTTTTTAGAACTCAACTTGTTGTTCTCTAAGTAATGTGTATATAATTTTCAAATAAGCACTAAGCCGATGGGGAAAAGCATTAAGAAAGATTTAAAAAGATTTGGGTACTATTTAAAATAGAAAGTTCAAAGGGCACTAAAAAAGTTCTGAATTCCTCATGGATTTAAATTTAATAGCATTCCAAAATACTTTTCAAGAGCACACTGGTAGTTAGTCTGGAGATGCTGATAAAATGCATTGGGGCTGGCAATGGCATTGGCCATCAGGGGGTTGATTTTGCTTCTATTTTTTGTTTTTTTGTAACGGAAAGCTCTCACCACCCTTCCCAGCGTCCTCAACAGGCCAACAGTTGATGCTGTGCCAAAAAAAAGAAGGAAAAACGCAAAGACAAACAGAAAAAGGGAAGCACAAGAAATTGAACTTTGTGCCCGTCTGATTGCATGCCACCTTTTCTCTTTCTCTCCCTCTCCCTCTCTCCTATATTGTTTTCCCATCTCTCTCTGCAGTGAGAGCGAAAGTTGTGCATGTTCGGGGGATATGATATGTAGTCCTATATAAGGCACTGGCATTTTGGCACTCTGCTCGGCCAGACGAGTGCATGTGTCCCCCGGTTGGTTTTTGGCCAAGCAAACGCTCTTGGCTAAAATATTAACGCTATCTTCGGTTCCTGGGAAAGGAGAATATGCTGTTTATTGATTGTTTCAGCCACGAAGGACCTCATCTGAGGGGTTAGAGTGCGAGTCCTTTTGTTATTTTTAGAAGCTTTGTTACAGTAATTTAAGTTGGAGGGTATTATGACTGTTTATAATTATATTAGTTTCATAAATTTTATAAAGTTCTCGGAATTACAAACATTACTTTTATCTGTGAAGCTAATTTAAACAGAAGCAGAATAAATAGAAATCGGAATATACAAATGACAATGTTAATAACAAATCACTAGTTATTGCATTCTATAAAGCTTTTGTAGGCTTTATTTCCAACGAAATGAAATGTAATTGCATTTTTTTTATTTGTAATTGAGCTTAACTCGTGCAAAACTGATACAGTGCCAAACAAAGCAATAGTTTGTATAACAAAAGATACGGTATTTTATTTGTTTAGTCTAATAAAACTTACTTGTGTTTTCAAATCAAAGTGAAACAGCTCTGGCATTCTTGAATTTGATCGAATTATATTTTATTTATCTGACTAACTCAGCAAACAATTCCATATTTTTCCTATTAAACAACACTTGAAACCCATTATTCCGCAGTTCTAACCATAAACTGGTTAAAAGTGACTGCAAAACTTTCCATCAGCTGCGTTTATTTACATAATATTATTGCAAAAACAAACTGTCCTTCGACAGAGGAGCAGCAGCTGACCAAGGTTAGGCGTGCGTAAACAATACGGGGGATCCGGAGACGAAGAAAAAGCCCCCAGAAGGGAGTTGGAACCCAACACCGGTGCTGAGGGGCAAGGGGATTCCCCCATTGTCAGCAATCCTCACCAAAGAGGCGCCGATTGATAGGCGACTATGCCCGAAGATGCACACATCGAAGGCAGGGTATCAAGGTCAGCCGGAAGCGGAAGCGCGGGTGCTTTTTTTAGGTTAGGAAATGGCGGCCATGTCCTCGCTGGATTTTCGGTGCAATTCTCGCCTTGGCGCCAAACGATGGCCAAATCAATTACTATCCTTTTTCCCTTACTTTATTTTTACGAAAAATTGCCCAAATTTGAAATAGAACAACTTGCGCAATGGGGGGTTTTGTGTGTGTATTTCGAGGGGAGCCAAAAATAGCCACAAATATGGCACTAATAGTTGGCATTTAAAATTCAAGAGCAGTGTTGCGAATATTATTCATGTGTGCCGTAAACAAAAACCACAAATATATAAAATGTGCAAAATCGATTGCATAAACAGAGTTTATTTCATTGACAATCAAACTGCGCCGATTTATGCAGAATAGGAAAAGACAGCTGCCAGTCCCCGCCGCACTTTCCATTTTCCATTTCCACCCATGCACCTTCCCCATTCTTTATATTGCTTCTTATCGATTTAGTTCGGAAACACGCCATGT